CGGTGGGGCGGGGGGGGTGTGGGGGGCGGTGGTCGATCCTGCGGGCTACAAGCTCGTGCAAGGGCGGTTGCTATACCATAATCGGCTGGTGGTGTCACGCCAGTCTCTGCTAGTGGGCACCATCCTCGCAGAGTTGCACGATGGCGCCATGGGGGGACACTCGGGCTATTTGAAAACTCTCAAGCAAGTGCAGGCTTTATTCTACTGGCCAGGAATGAAGCGCGATATTCACCAATATGTCGCCCATTGCATGGTTTGCCAACAAAACAAGAGCTCTACTTTGGCTCCGGGCTGGTTACTGCAACCTTTGCCGATACCGGAGCGCATTTGAGAGGATATCTCGATAGATTTCATCGAAGGTCTTCCTCAGTCGGAGGGGGTTGACACTACCCTAGTCGTTGTGGATCGGCTGAGCAAGTATGCCCATTTTATCGGACTTCGGCACCCGTTTACGGCTCAATCGGTGGCTGGGATTTTCTTAAAAGAGGTGGTTCGCCTCTATGGTATTCCTTCTTCCATTGTATTGGATCGGGATAAGGTGTTCATTAGCAAGTTTTGGACCGAGCTCTTCCGCCTACAAGGTACTGTACTCAAGCATAGCACGGCGTACCATCCTCAAACGGATGGGCAGACCAAGGTTGTCAACTGCTCTGTGGAGACGTATTTGCACTGTTTTGCATCCGCTCGACCCAAAATGTGGGCACGCTGGTTCCCATGGGCGGAGTATTGGTATAATACTTCATTTCACACTGCCACACGGACCACGCCCTTCTTTGCTTGTCTATGGTCAAGCTCGCCCCCACTTGATGTGTTTTGAGGCCGGATCCACACCTTACTCTGCGGTGGATCAACAACTGCAGGATCGCGACGCTGTCTTGGATGAATTGCACCAGCAACTGCTTTGAGCACAACAGAAGATGAAGCACCAAGTGGATGGTCATAGACGGGATGTGCAGTCTGCAGTTGGAGACCTCGTCTACTTGAAGATCTGCCCCTATCGCCTCAAGTCCTTAGCTAAGCAGCCCAATGAAAAGTTGGCTCCCCAGTTCTACGGCCCCTTCCAAGTTCTCGCACCAGTGGGGCCGGTGGCTTATCGACTTCAGTTGCCTGAGTCCTCTTCTCTCCATCCAGTGTTCCATGTATCTCAACTTCGTCACACGGTTGGCGCCACAGCCGTGGTCTCCGAGCTTCCTCCCCATCTGTCTGAGGAGTATGAATTGCTGATCGAGCCAGAGGCAATGTTGGGATTGCGTTCTACTTCGGCAGCAGGAGCCAACCGCTGGAGGTGCTGATTCAATGGAAGGGCATGACTTCCGAAGAGGCTACGTGGGAACCCTATGAGCTCATCCAAGGCCAGTTTCCAGAGTTTCACCTTGAGGACAAGGTGACTCATTGGGAGGGGAGGTTCACTTACGCCAGACGTGCCAAGCCAAGCACGTGAGAGGTGGAAATAAGTTGGTACTTTGAGGCCAATTTGGAAAATTGTCAAGTCATTGGGATCTGTGTTAGTTAGTGGGGGAAATTAGTTATACGGGAATAAAAGGGGAAGTGGCGAGAGAGGAGGCTGGCAATCGGTGAGTTGAGTGGAGTACTTTCTCTGGGAGAGAATTGAGCCTCTCGAAAGCTCAATATCTATCTTACTTTTCCCTGTACTTTCTATTTTTCCAATTTGTGATTCCATTAATACAACTTCCAGTTTACTTCTCTATCATCTTGCTATTCTCTTTAGTTGGTACTTATCATATACACATACAGAAACATAGGTATGCATTTATATATGCGTAACTTGAGTGTATGTATGTGTGTATACGAGACAAGAGTAGGACGAACCTTATCGAGGATGCCAAATACAATTTCATACAATTTGGACAATATTTCAGAGTTGCTTGATGGAGCATATGTAAGAGCCTTCAATGCTTGAAGTCTTCGTGCATGAACTTTTAAATAGAAAGATAAAAAGAAAAAAAAAAAAAAAAAAAAGTTTAATAGCACAATTATCCGGCAGAAAAAAATCTAGGATATCTATAGGAACAATCAGAAAACAGCCATATATGAATATGAACTGGAATAAGAAGTTTACATTCGACATCAGCATTTGACGCCTCATTTGTGAGTTGAGCTACAATTCTAGGCACAACATCAGCTCTAGTCACCCCACCAACAGCGTCAATGTCAGCCAAAGCATCCCAGTTCGGAGTTGGAATGCCACCGCCGGAGCTCACACCTTGGGCCCCAGTATCAGACAAAATCCTAGCCAGGTAATAATATACATATCGCAGAACGCTCCTGTCTTCGCACTGCTGATCCAACTGCACAAAGGAAAAAAAACACACACACACACACATATATTTATGTATTATTACTATGAGAACAAAATCTTATTGAAACTGAGAATCAGTGAAATAAAAGAGACATTGAGTCGTCAGGAATGAGTTTAGAGAGAGAAATAGAGAGAAGGAGAAAAGAAATGTTAGGTTAAAGAATAACAATCTAAAGATGACTTCTAAATAGATCAAATGATCAATATCATTAAACAAGGTCCTAATTGAAAAAATAACAAAATCTACTATGTACAGATACAAAATAATTAGAAGGTGAACTTAATTAAACTCTAAACACAATGAGGCAAATAAAAAACACAATACTTTCTATATTGTTTTATCATATTGATCTCCATCATAAACTCTAGGCGTTCCTCATCATGTCCAAAGTATCTAAATGAACATAAAAGTAGTATTCATCAGTCATCACTATTAGTGGCTGTGGTTCAATCACTGTATACAAGTACATAACAGTGTGAGACAGACCCATCAATTCTAGCTTTTACTACTAAATGAGAGTTTTGTTTTGTTTTACTACCCGATCTACAATGGCATCACAAAGCTCATAAGTATAAACAAGGAAACAACGTACCATGAGAAGAGATGGTGCCAAAGAAGGGTCGACTGAGTTGTAGACGGCGAGTTTTGGAAACACATGATTCAGTAGCTGCCTCTGTGAACTTTTCTATTCACATTCAAATTATATATGTGTGTGTGTGTGTGTGTATATATATGCCAACAAAAAAAAAAAACCTGGTTAGAACTAATCTATGGCCTGATGTTAATAACAGTTATAATAAGATAGAAAAATTACTAGCTCGAGAGACTAATCTCATTGACGGGAGTTATAATTCAAGTAAAAAACGTAATCTCAATAATAATTTTGATAGTAAAGAATCCTAATTGAACTGAAAAAACTCAAAACTAAATGTAGAAAAGTTGAAATTTCCCCAAAATAATAAGCAAGAATATGATTGACTTACACAAGGTACTAGATAGGTAGGTAGAGAGAATTATTATGGGAAAGAGGAAGGGCTTTACGAAGAGGCAGCTAGCTCGTGAATGCTTCTGGCAAGTTGAGAGTACGAAACAGGCTGCCAAAACAACAAGAAGCAAAACTAGAAATCAAGACCAACCAACCAACCAACCAAAAGAGTAACAATCAATCATCAGCATTCAGCAACAATGGAGAAGAAGAAGAAGAAGAAGAAGAAAGAAAACAGAAATGAATTACTTAATTAAATAACCTTCTTGCTCTTGAGCTTCTGCTTCTGAGGGATAGGGATAATGTTGATATTCATATTAGTACGGACGGGGTTGAGAGCAGCCTTGGCGGCAGAAATGGTGTCGTTCTGGATCTGGAGGAGCGACGCTCTCTTCGACCGCTTCTCCACCGCCGGCTTCCCAAGCGCCGTCGCCGGCCCCAAAACCGCCGCAGCCGCAGCTGCAGACGAAGATGTCGATGATGACGTGGAAGAGGACGACGACGAAGAAGCGGCGGCGGAGAAGGTGGATGGATCGGCCGTGATCAGATCCATGAGAGTGGTGCCGGAGGAGTCCTGCGCCATCCACCACCAACAACAAAGAATAAGATGAAGATGAAGAAAATGGATCCGCGATCAAGAGGAGATTTAGCAGGAGTTAATTACCGCCATTGTTGTGTGTGATTATGATTACAATTGTTAACTAACTATTCGTGAAAAGAAAATCTGACGCAAAAATGGGATGAATTGGATTATTCTTTTCGTGCATGATTTGTTTCTTCCTCTTCTTCAATTGGGTAGCCTAGCTATGCTGCTAATTGCTTAAGAGAGAAATCAAAGAGAGGACTACTCCTATATCGACTGATCTTCCCTCAAAGGTTGCACCTTGTTATTTTGGCGAAGAGACGAGAGAGAGAGAGAGAGACATATGTTGGGCCAGAGAGAGAGAGAGAGACATATGTTGGGCCTTCGTTTCCAATAGTAACGATTTTGGGCTTCAGCGTATCCAATAGTTGGATTTGACTTTAGATTCAGCCTAAATTAGGCCCACTACCTCTATTAAAGAAAAATGAAAAAAAAAAAAAGGAGAGATAATTACACTACTTGGCGAAATTTTGTACCTGATGTTAAAATTTTAGCAAAAATTTTAAAATATTATAAAAATAACAAACATAATTATGTCATTTTTAGTACTATATTATGGTACAGTCATTGTTATAGTGGTATCAAATTTACAATTCTTGATATCAAAATCTTACCATTCTTGTAGTATTCAAAATTTTTGCAGCATTTAAATTCTACTCTATAAATTTTGTTATATGGGAAAAGAGCCTGATTCAAATTCTTCCTTGACAACTTTTTAATAAAAGTAGTTACACAAACTTTCAACGCACAGTTATCGTCTCTGTTAAACATAACTAGAAGTCGCATGATAACATAGTTAACACTCGGTAACGTACAATCAATATCTGATTGTGTATTTAAAAAAAATTAAATTCTACTCTATAAATTTTGTTATATGGGAAAAGAGCCTGATTCAAATTCTTCCTTGACAACTTTTTAATAAAAGTAGTTACACAAACTTTCAACGCACAGTTATCGTCTCTGTTAAACATAACTAGAAGTCGCATGATAACATAGTTAACACTCGGTAACGTACAATCAATATCTGATTGTGTATTTAAAAAAAAAAAATCTTTTTTTTTTTAAAAAAAAAAAAAAAAAAAAAAAAAAAAAAAAACCTTAAGATATAGTACTTAATGAAAATGAAATTAATGAGCTACGTGGTTTTATATAAACATACTCAGCCACTGGTTTATATTGAAATCATTTTGTTAGCTGCACTACTTTACATCAAACTTAATGGACAAACTAAGAAAAAGACAGCTTCACTCACAAGTGTTATTTCTGTGTGTGTATATATATATATATATATATATATATAGTCCCTTTTTGTTTTCTTTTTACAAATAAGAACCGTGTAACTGAAGCCTTTACTCAAGTTCAACTACTTAACTCTTAGCTTTTAGAGGACTAGCTAGTTGGTGGATAGTTACACCATATTACCAACTTCCCCCACACCTTCATTGGTCCCAAATCTTTTCTTCATATGTTGCACTTTGGTTCTCAACTTTCTCAAAAAACCTCATGTCGTCACAACTAACTGTTTTTGTGACGACGTGTCGTCGCAGATTTGTCGTCGTAAATAATTCGTCGCAAAACCTTTTTTTGCGACAACAAAGTGTCGTCGCAACTGTATTTGCGACGACAGGCGTCGCTAATACGCCGTTGTAAAATTCGCGTGATATGATCATTTTTTGCAACAACATTTCAAATTGTCGTCGCAAATAATGTTATTTTTTTTACGACAACAAGTCTAAAAAAGTCATCGCAAAAAATTGAAATTAATTTTTTTTATAATTTATAAAAAATGGCAATTAATTAATTTTAATTAAACATTATTATGTTACATACTGAATATAATTTATTAAAATACACTAAAAGTGAAATATAAATTAATATTAAAAATAATAAATCTAAATAAATTTATAAAATATATTATGAATACTATATGAAGTGCATATATAATGTTCAAAAAAATATAAAAGTCTAAATAAAGTGAAAAATAAAATAGTACATATAACGGAACTAATCGTCTAAGTTTGCAGCATCGCCAACAGTTGAATCATCATCAGGACTGTCATCATCTGAAGGAGGCAGAAGATTGTCTAGATTAACTAGTTCTTGACGATCAATCGTAGGTAATTGGATGTTGGGTTGCAATTTAGCCACCAACTCTAACACCTTCACCTGATTCTCATAAATCTTAACTTGTTCCTAGTATGATTTCTTTAAATAACGACTCACATGTGGGTCAAGTTGAGCCGATGATGTTGCGTCCGAGTATGAACCAGCAGATGAAGGAGAAGCCCTTTTGGGAGAGCGTCGAACCCACTCCTATCTTATGTCCTCTACGCATGCCAAGAACTTGCTATAAAATCTCATGCTCGTCAAAGCCGGGTCTAGTCGAGCTTGAAGTAGACTGTATTCTCTGTGTTTGTCTCTCCTCCTCCAGGGTATTCTACATAATAAGATATTATAATTATTTTTACATGTTATAAAACTACTATTTTAGTATAAAAAATCATAATTCAAATATTGGGTCGACACTTGAAACCACTTCTACTTCACCATGGTGAATCCATGTACTATACAATGGATCAAAACCAAATCAATGTATATGCGCTCTCACAGTTTCTACTAGATGCATTTCATAGTTTCTACATTTCACACAATGATAGCTGATATGGCCAATTGAAGTTGCATAATTTTTGGCGACGTCAATAAAAGTAGATACCCCATTCCAATATTCATCCGACAATCGGTTCCTCAAATAAATCTAACTTTTGTCAATTGGCATTTCAACTATAAACAACAACAGACCTAACAATTTATTAATGTGTTTAATTAATTTTAATTTTACTCTTTATTAACACAATTAAATTTTATTAATTAAAGTTTGTTAATGAACTTATTAAAATTCTCGTTTTCTAACTAAATTTTGGCAGCATTACGACTTATTTTTCATATGATCTAAAAATCAAAACCTGCAGAAAAATAGCTTTAAAAGATTTCGGCACACCATAGCTGCAAGATGTGCCACCCAGAACAAGAATCATAAACATATACTAAATTTCAAAAATATAAGAAAATCATAATTCAAATATTGTCATCATAATATCAAATTCATACAACCAAAAACTACAACAATTTTAAACTAAATAAATATAAAAAACTTATAAAGTTCAAACCCACTAAACGGGGGCTGAAAATAGCAGGATTACGTCGAAGGAACCGTGCAAACAACGACGAAGGTAAAAAATCAAACGCCCACATCAAATTAACATTTTATTAACATCTAGAGTAACATATAGACACAATTATTGATTAATCAATGTAAGTTTAAATTTTCACATTCTCATAACCATAAAAAAATGACTAAACTCGAACAAAAATCCATAACATTTTCTATTTTCTATTTCCTTCTTCCATTTTCTCGGCAAGTAACAACAATCCCTAACAAAAATCCCTAAAAATCCCTAACATTCTTCGAATCAATGCAAGTAATCAAACAAAAACAAAATTTACAAAAAGAAAAAATAAATAAAAACCCAAACCTGAAATTCTGGCGGGGGCGGGGCGGCGGGAGCAGCGGCGGCGGCCGGAGAGGGGAACAAGAGAGAAGGGGAGAGAGAGAGAGAGAGAGGAGAGAAGGGAAGAGAGAGAAAAAGAAGGGAAGAGAGAGAAGGGGAGAGAGAGAAGGGAAGAGAGAGAGAAGACGGCCGGCGGCGGTGAGGGGAAGAAGAGGCAGAGAGTCAGCAGGAGAGAGAGAGACTGAAACTGTCGAGGGAAAATGAAGATGAAGAAGCTAGGGTATATTAGATCTGACTTATTTGTAACGACATTGTCGTCGCAAATAAATTTAAAATATCGTCGCAAATAAGCTTTACAGTGTGAACGCACGGTGTGAACACATAGTGTGAACACACGGTGTGAACACATAGTGTGAACACACAGTGTGAACACAATTTAAATTTATCATTTTAAACTTATTTTATAAGTTGTTCAACTTATAACTCAAACTAATTTAAGTTTGACTTAAATTTAAATTTGAATTTTCAGTCAAAATTGGACTACAGAATAAAGGATGATTTTCTCTTCCTTCCCTATCTGTATTTGGTGCCACACAAGGATAACATCTCATCAGGTTGGCCGGCCATAATAGATAAAAGGGAAGATAAAGTTTTGTTCCAAATTCAAATATGAGATAATTAACAAGCTTTATCTTAGAGATATAGATTATATTCATTTTAGAAGTTTGACTTCTACTATATAAATAAGAGAATGATAGAAAATTGTGAGATACAATTTTTGACCTATTTTTTTAAAGAGTGGCCGAATTTCTCCATAGAGTGAAAAGGAAAATTTTTTCTCCAAAAATTTCACATTATGCATGCGTTGGTGTTTGTAGAAATTTGAGTGTTTATTCTAACCCGTTTTGTCTCAGATGTGCTCACACACACGTCTTCGTGAATTTTAAGAATTGACTGTTGGTCTCCGGATCGAATCCGGATGCGGAAGCGTGGTGGTGCGGGGAAGAGGCGGATCGTGTATAACAAAAATTTTCATAAAACTTTTGAGATACTCTATAGATTATATTAATTTATGCACGAATAAATTAATCTCATTAACTTATATATATCAAGAACTCAATCAGGAAAAATACCTGGAAGCCGACTCGGATGATAACTTGAGTTCTTTGACCACGAACAGTCCTTGCTCCAATCTTTGTGTTTAGAAAACCAATGTTTTTCACATCAATTCCTAGAATCCACAAAGACGTGTGTGTGGGCACACATGAGACAAAACGGGTTACAATAAACACTCAAATTTCCACAAACACCATCACATGCACGATGTGGAATTTTTGGAGAAAAATTTTTCCTTCCTTTCTCTCTTGAGAATTTCGGCCAGCCTTAACTCTTAGGGCTGAAAAATTATTTCTAAAATTTCTATAGAGAAATTTCGGCTACCTCTAAAATTAGGGCAAAAAACCATTCCGAAAATTGTTTCAAAGATAGTATTTATAGAGTAGAAGTCAAACTTTTAGAAAGAATCCAATCTCTATCTCCAATTTGAATTTCGAACCAAAATTCTCCTCTATCCCTTATCCCTTGTGGCCGGCCATGCTAGGGATTCCTATCCCTGTGTGTGGCGCCAATAATAGATAGGGAAGGAAGAGAAAATCATCCTTTATCCTGTA